ATTTGAGTACAAGCTACACTGGGTCTCTGTATTTCCCAGCATCTCTGCCTGATCTGGCATATGCTAGATTTGCTGGAATTTGATCATAAGTGGCCCCATCTCACAACGATCGGGACTGAGGAGGTTCTATCTAAATGTGTTTTCACTGCTGATGTAACGGGGCAGCTTTTGTGCAGACATAAAAGGGGACTTGCGCATTATCTGGCAGGTGGTATCTGATCTTTCTTCGAATGCTTACCTCACATGTCTTTCAACGACTACACTGATGTGTTGCAGGGGAAGCCAGCTGCACCGGTACACACAACATGCAGGAGGACTCTATTCGCAGCCCCAGCTACACGGTTCCCTGCGACGACTATGTCCACGTGGTAGAATTCAGTCCCTTCGTCTCGGGTACCCCTGCCTCCCTTCTGGCCTACGGTGGAAACCAGTATGTGGTGGTGGGCACCTGTCTCTTCCAGGTCAGACATTTAGCTTCACACACAGCTGGGTTTAGCCAACCATAGTATTTTCCTTCCCTTACGACCAAAAGATTTTTCTCCCACAGGAGGAAGATATGGAGGTGGAGGGAGTTGAATTCAATGTTCTTCGAGCTTTTCATCATGAATTGCGTGTTGACGCACTGGCATGGAGCCCTGAGTCTCGGCTGGACGGGATACCAAATATCAGGTATCACCTTTTGACTTGATGTGATTTGATTATTTTACATATTTTGATTAGTAAGACGATACTGTGTTATTACATTATTATGTGTTATTTAATATCCTAACTTTAAAACGAGTGAAGAAGACCAAAGAAATCATAAAACGGGACTGATAGTTGGAAAAGAAAAATACTTATTTTGTTATGTGGCCCACACACGGTACGTATCCACTTCACAATAGTGTCAGGCTGTAGGGAAATGATATCCATGTGCAGGAGTACAGTTAAAGTTTATTTTTGCTGTAAGATTAACCACAAGAGCACTTTGGCTTCTCAAGTGCTCCTCTGTTATTGTATTAGGGCAAATGTTTTGCTAGCAAGTGTCCAGTTAGGGTTGAAAGTTTGCTGTTAAAGCAGCTTTTCACTTTTGAGAGTCCATTTTATTTGGCAAAATCTGGGTAAAATTATTTTCCTTGGCCCAAAGGGCCATGTTTTTCAGCTGGTTTGATCATGGCCTTGTTGAAAAAAGATGCTGTGTTTTAAATTATCAATACGTTTTTTCCTGTGTGTCAAGACGGGAGAAAAGCAGTCTTGTGAAGAAATGGAAAGTGCATCCTCCTTGATGGTGAAGTTGTTAAGGATCAGGACAAATCCAAATATCATTTAATCCCTCCATTACCTTGAAATTGGGTGAATACCACGATCCAACTTATACCACGTCATTAAGGATTAATAAAACAAAGGCAAAATGCAGCAGTATTACTAGAAAAGCCTGCCTCCATAAAAACTAAGATGTCAACTAATAGTTGGGTGCTGCTAAAAAAAAAATGCACTTGATTGGTCCATCATCAACAGTTGTGAGCACCTCTGATAGAGTAGACCTTTAGTTATTTTGCTGATCCGGAGCTTTCAGGTGAGTCGCTATTAAGTGTCAAAGTCCAAAGTTTGTGACACTATCATTCGGAAAACACTGAACAAGCGCGACTTGCTTGGAACAGATGTGGGGAAAACACCTCTCCTGTCCTAAAAGAACATGGCCACTGCGCTTAGATTTGTAAAGCTGCATTTAAACAAACCACAAAACCTCATAACAACTGTCGGCATGGTGGCGGAGGGATGATGATTGGGGCTTGTGTTTCAGTTACAGGACCCAGAAACCTTGCGGCCATTTAGTTGTTTAAATGATCCAGTCAAGGTCCAGATTTCTACCAGATTGGAAAGCTGGGACTTTGAGAGAGCTGGGCACAAACATCTGAACAGATGAACTGTAAAGAAAGTCATGGGGTTTAACTTGATTCTTAGACACAGCGTCATTTTTTTTCTGTTGCTTGTTCCCTCTTTCTGGGTAAAGATCCGCTAGGTTTTTAGATAGTTGGTGGATTGCATTCCAGGTGGTCATTCCTCCAACTCCACCATTAGATGTAAAGATCGCACACTGTGAGTTTAAATGTAAATCTCGTCACTTTATTTGCAATTGGAATCATTCATCAAAACCATTTTCATCGGGCCGAAATGTTCAGTCATATAACCGCCGCTCATGACCCATTTTTCTTTCCCACGCTCATTGAAGTCAATCTAATTTAGATGCCTTGACCTTTTTCGCTGGGCCGTCTATTGTTAAAGAAAAAAAAAAAAAAGATGCTCGTCGTACAGCGGGATGTCTGACGCTCGAGCATCTCTGGTTATGTAAGAGGTCAGAACGCCGCTGCAGGAGGATTAGAGGCTTTCAAGCTTCACTTCCGCATTAGAAACCCCGACAGTCTGCGTCTCTAGCATAACAGGATGACTTTTCTAAGAAAGCACTGCGCTGTGAGAAAGCAGCCATCGCCGCCTCCCGCTGTCACGCTGCAGCTAGCTGGACGGGAGCCAAGTTGTTTCAGGTGGCTTCGGACTCGGAGGGTAGTTGCCCGGGCCCAGATTGTTAGAAAGCAAAGGGTTTCCGCCTAATTGGAGCGGGTGGACGGGGGAGGCTCTGCAGTTCCCCCCCCAACCCCCCACCCGGAGGTGTTTGGGCTTTCTGTAATTGAAAAGGAAAGGCAGCGATAATTCCTGGCCTTCTGTGGTCTACTCCACAGGACCCTCGAGCCAGCCCTGTGACGTGCGCACATGTTATTGCGCTGATGATTACCCACTCAGGTTCCATCCCTCCCTTCAGTCAGCACGTAGCCGGGCCTTCCTGGAAAAGTACAACGTTCTCACGGGCTCGAGGAGAGGAGAGGAGAGGAGAGGGGGGCTTGATCTGCCACCGCAGCAGCTTGTATTGAGAACAACCCTGAAGACTGTCGAAACCACAGACTTCCACTGCACACACTCATTTTTCAACCTTGGCTGTCACGTAGTAAATACAGTGGCCAAAACGCCAAACAACAGGCTCTTATTAGAGAATGACAGTAAGAAGAGGGGGGAAAATGATGGGGGTGACATTAATTAATTCCCCGTAGCTCGACTTTTACTGTATTGCGTCTCGGGTTGCCAAGACACAGAATTACAATAACATTTAACAGAACAACGCACCATCACAAAGCATAGTACAAACAATGACACAAATCCGAAACAAGATCTTGTAAATACGTGCTACACACACACACACACACATATATGTCTATACAAAGTGCATGAACAGGAAAAAAGTCAAACAGTGGTGGACATTAACAATAGGACAGTGAAGAGAAGGACTTTGATCTCTGGGAACTTCTGGGTAGCCTCATGGACGGTCAAAAGAGTCCTGCGCTCGGTGGTTGAGGCTAAAACCGGCTGCTGTCTTGTGTCAGAAAAAGCTATTTACGAATTGCCTCTAATGCACATCAGCCACTCGTCATCAGCGGAAGTTTCTCTGATTCCCTTCTCTTCGGTAAGGGCTTTAGGAGTAAACACGCTGCTTCATGTTGGGAGAGGAGCAGCATGGTGGGCATCTCTTACTCCCGCCTGCGCAGGCAAACGGAGCACAACGCAAAAGCACTTCTGCACAACCTCTCCAGTTAGAAGGATTAACGTGGTTTCCGTTACCGTTTGACCAATTTTACCCTGGTACATTTTGATTAGTTGAGCTGAAATGTTTGTTCAATTTCAGTAAAAGAAAGCTCTGAAAAGCAGATGCCATTCATGGACAAACCAGCAGGTTACACCTAGGAGCAGAAATGGTCTGTATTTGTGTTGACGGGTTAAAGGTACCACTCAAAATGCGAGGTCCTCAGAGTGCAAAGCACATTTCCAACCGGATCCTGAAGATCTAGCTGTTAGAATCCTTCGCGCAAGTTGCTAGAAATGGAAGCCCAATCTCAACAGGTCCCGTTCAGAAGACAGTGGGTCTTAAAGAGACAGGAACTAATACAGCTTATTTTAAAGAGAGTTGAACGGATGGACTATTAAAGGATCAGTATAAGATTAATATTTTCATTATTTCAAAACCCCCAATATTATTGGAAACCTGCACGCAAAACAACAAAAAACAAAAGTACCATATCCACATATAAAGGCTTCAAAACTCTGCTTAAATTAGCCGTTGATGACAACCGGTGGTGTTTTCCCCTCCAGAACCAAAACGATCTTGACGTTAAACCTCTAAGATGTACAAAGAAGCAGTGTGCGTTTTGCGTTTTAAAACAAACAGCAGTCAGTACGCTCGGAGGGCCCGTCCCAATACAATCCGACGGAGCCCTGCAGCGCATTAGGGCTGTTTGTAGTGACATCAAGCCAAATCCATCTGTTCCTGCGACTCGCAAATGTGTGAACCGCTGCCTGTTTATTCTGGTGATACGTGTGTGTTTTTCTTGTCATAAGTGAGTTAGTGTAATTGTGTGAATAATTGCGGGAGCTGGTATATACTTGGACTGATTAGAGGGAAAGTCCTCGGCCTGACTGGGCCCAGGTCTTTCGAACAAAGACGCACGTAGCGTGAGCAAGCTTGTTTTTCCCCCCCGTGTTTATCTTTGCCCGCAATTAGAATCTCCCTGGCAGCGCTTCCACTGATGGCGTTCCAAGTTTCTGCCACACAGGCGCTCTCGTCCAGAGCTGTCAGTCTAGGCGGCTGTGGAAAAGTCGTCCGTTTATTGGGATGATTTTTTTTATTTTATTAAATTTTTTCTTTGTAATGTTCCCTTCTTGTTTATCGTCAACTGTTTTCCTCCCCTCTCTGCAGACTGTGCACGGCGGCAGCGGACAGAAAACTGCGCCTGCTGACTTCTGATCTTCAGGATAGGCACGAAGTCAAGGTAGCGCAACATCTGGAGCGTATTGGCCCCGGACCGGGCCTGTCGTTTGGCATCAAGCTTCCTCCGCTTAGTGCTGACATTTGGTACTTAGTCTTACAGGAAACGTAGCCGCACACGCAGAAAGCCGAGCGGCGGCCAGCGTAGTAAAGCCCAGTGCGCTCAAGAAAACATTCGTTCCACTTTAGGAACGGCATGTATTCTGTTTTTTTGTCTTTTGTTTTATTTTTGTTTGCTGATAATCTTTTCCATGCTGTTTCCTAGGTGATGCAGGGCCACTCCAGCTACATCAACCATTTGGTGTTTGAGCCCACAGAGGGGAAACAAATAGCTTCCGTCAGCGATGACCACACTTGCAGGTCAGATCCGTTTTATTCCTCTGTTTATGTGTGTGCGTGCGCGCGTGTGTGTGTGTGTGTGCGCGCGTGCGTTTCCTCGGCTTCTGATTTTCAGTCCTGTTCTCTGTTAATGGCGCAGAAAGGCCTGCCAGTGTTTCCACAGTGAAACATGACGCTAAGCACAACATGCTACAGTGTGACTGCGCATAAGCACAGAGCTGCCTTGTAGCTTTTTTAAACTAATTGGTTAAATATGGAAATCCAATTAGCCGCCGAAAGATTTTCCTCTCTCGGGGGGAGCCGTAACAAGGTTCCCGAATTTTCCCTTTCAATTAGGCCGGTGGAGGGAAAAAGTGTGTCAGTAGTCGGGGTCAGTGGCGGGACAGTGCTGATGGTCTGTCGCCCTGCGCCCACAGACCATAGGTTCCAGTCTGCACAGTTGAGCTCAGTTTTAGACGTGAAAGCCTTGAACAGGGAAGCTTTAAGGCTTTTTGTTGAAAAACGCAAAAGAAACAGATGATGAAAAGCATCATGATAAAGGGGGGGTGGGTAAATAGACGATACTTCAGGCTCTTATATCAAAATCATGCTTACACATAAACACATTAATGCACCACAGATGGAATAATCCTGTCTTTGTCTTCTTTTTTTTTTCCAAACCAGTAAATGCATTGATATTTTCCTAAATTTGTGACCTCTCTGGCTTCCAAGAATTCCAGCGTTTGGGTCTAAAATGACTAGGGGGGGCTCTCTCAGTTGTTAAACATTTCCAAGGAAACTGGGTCTGACGTCATTCTACTCTAACAAAATACAAGGGAAGGGGGGGAAAAAAGCTCTGGGAAGCGTAACTCTGTGACAGATATCGCAAAGCATGAAAAAATCTTGATTCGAGAAATCGCAGAACCACAATTAGTGAAGCGTCACCTCGCCAGCCCATTTTGAACTACGGGTACAAACAAAGGCCTGACATTCTGAAGTTAAAAACTTGTCATCTTTTTTTTCTCTTTTTTTTTTTTTCTTCCTCATTCAGTACCTTCTTATGTCTGAAGAACAGCCCAGGAAGCCTAACTAGAGTTGTGCTAGAAAATGGACTCCTTCTGATAGCATTGTGAACGATAAATGGTGGTTAAAATGTGGTCAACCTGCTGTCCCGTCTGCCGTATTTAGGCTCTGTGTAGAGAAAAAATACTGACACAAGCGCTGGATCTTCAAATTTCCCTAGGTAGAGTGGCAGTTGAGGTTGCCACGGCGATGCTTTGTGCAACATTTGATCCAACTCGGACAGAAAATCCACCAAGTTGTTGCTCGTTTTTGCAATCGGAGCAACACGAAGCAACGCTTTGGTTTCAGATAACCTACCGGCGTGGTGTGTAAGCTAATGTCATTCACAAAGCGTTTATTACATTTTTGGGTTTGTTTGTTTTCAACGTTTGTTTCTCCCAATAAAACCAGAGGCAAGTAGGATAGTTATTCCAAGGTTTGTCTGCCCAGGCCATCCATATGCAATGGAAGCATTCCTAGAGGAAAAATGCTAGTTTTCGTTAGGAATTCGTGCTTTTTTGATAACGGGCCGTTAGTTTCTCATGACGAAACACCTCGACAGCCATCGGCGGTCGGGCGGGGGGGGGATCGTCTTTTTGAGCCCATGTCTGGGATCGTGCAGGGGTTGAACGAGTCTCCTCCACTCCCATCCACTGTCCTCCTCCCCTCCCTCCTCCGGGGCGGCCAGAGAAAACAGGAGTGCGCTCCATCTGCTGAAAGATTTAGATTCTGTCATGTTGAGAAAATATGGGACGCGGGAGGAAGACTGAGGCGGAACAAGGGATAGATCAAGTTAACAGGAGACGACCTTCCAGTCAGCCCACACAAACGGAGCCTTGATGTGAGCGGAGAGAAGTGGTCCCGCAGAAACGGGGGGGAGAGGCTCATGTCAGCATGTATAGGTTGGTGACCTCTCCATCGCACTGTTGGCTTTGGCAGGACGGCCTCCTCTATAAGTTTGCTTAGTTTTGTCATCGCTGTCCCCTGCAGCTGAGGGACCGCGTCTGCTGCCAGCGCCGCAACCCGACGCCGCGGCTTCTAGGTGGGAAACCGGTCCCCACTTCCTCAGGGCCCGGCCTAGTCTAAACAGCCCAGACGGAACAGGGTGGAGTTGAGGTGGGGGAATGTGCCACCTACAGGTCACGGGGCCGCACTGCAGGCTCCCGAGGGGATTTGGAGTTGACCGAGTTCGCCTGTGAAGTCCAGAGAGCGCACACACACACACACACACACACCTGCTGGCCCATGCACGTTTGCTTTAAAGCGTTTCGACCCGTGCTCGCTGACGATCCATTCGTTTTTTTTCTCAATCCTCTTTATCATGGAAGGAATGAAAAGTACAAGAATCTGATATCCAGTCCCCTCTGGTTCGGTTAAGCCCATATCAGTCCATGTTCACGTTTGAGATTTCAAACAGGTCCTCAGTGGTTGATTTTGGTTTGTTTTTTTCCTCATTATAGCTGTTTTGAGCTTGGCGTGGTCATGCCCACGTTTGTAATGTCGCATCTTTCTGTAACCACAGTCCCCTTAAAAGTTAGACAGCGAGTCGATGCATCAAATGTAAATAAAAACAGATTGCTGCACTTAAATAGTACAAAACAATGTGTCGAAGTTGTTGTTTGTTTTTACCTGGAGAATTAGCTATTCTAGTGGCTTTCACATGCGTTTTCGTGGTTTCTTAGGAAGTCCCAAACGCTGCAAAGTTTTGCTTTGTAGGTAAGGTTGACTTAAAAAAATAAAATCAAAATTATTGTTGCATGCCCCAAAACAGGATGTTAAGAATGTGCTAAGACGTTAGCACAACTAAAAGTTGGCTTGTAAAATTCAGGCAGTCGCATCCAGTATATTCTCCTGTATGTGCATGTGTCTATATGCAGTATATATATGTATATATATATATATTCAGTTTCCAGTATTCAGAAAAATCCCAGTTAAGCTGCTTTCTGTGACTAATCTTGTGTTCTATTAGTACACACAAAATGTCATTTTCACGTGATAAGACTGCATTTAACTGTCAAATGAAGGCATAAGGCATAGTTAAACATTTCAGTGCAGTTTAATACAGAAGGCTTAGAGGCGAGGTCTGTATCGGTAATAAAAACAGCATTTTTTAATATTTATCAAACCAACAGATGACACGGCTACAGCTGCCTGGGGACAGAGCAAAACGGAACAAATACATCAATTGCCCGTTTGTTTTTTGTCTTGTTTTTTTTTTTCTCTGCCGTACAAAGAAACTGAAAGAGCTTGAAGCACTTGAGACCTGTATCCACCATATGCCCGGTCTGCCTTCCGTCTCACGCTGTACATTTGACCCGATTCTGTGCACGGGCATCGTCAGAGCTGTTCGCACGCAAGCTCTTTTCCTGTGTGTCGGCGATGTGCAAGTTGGTAAACAAGGACTCGACCTGGAAACGTTCCCAACTCTCTTTATGCAAACCCTGCATGTGCCAAATTGGAGTAGGCATGTCTTGCTGAAATAAGCAAGATATTTTAAAAAGATCCCAAATCAAATTTCGAACTCTAAAAAGGAGCCGATGCAGTGTTTTCCACCACGGGGTCAGGTCTTAGGTCTTAGAACTTTAGCTTCAAGAAGGCTTTCTGGGCTGTCTGGATCTTTCACTTCAGAAAGATAAAGATGAGAAATTATTATTTCTCTCTGAAACATCCACTCCCTTAAAAGGCCTATTTTTTAAAACTTTGAAGTCAGCCTATTTCCAGTCATTTGACTGGCAGTAATGTCTTTCCTCTTTGTTCTCTTCTGACATTTTCCTTTCAACTTTTGCCCTCGTAGACAATTGAACCATTTTGATAAACGATTACTTAAACTCCTTCCTCACCAATTAAACTGTGCTCGAGGTCTTGTATTTTTTTCTGCTCAGAGCCACTTTACTGGGATATTTGGTTAACTTGGAGCCCGAATCCTTTCAGTTTGGCCCAGTTCAAACAGTGTGTCTTTGGGGCAATGCCTGCGTTGCCGACCTCTTTTGAAGTCAAGTTAAGGTAGTGTGTGTGTGCATGTGTGTGTTTAATGTTCCTGGAGCGTCTAGAAAGGATGCTTCCTAGGAAGGTAAGCATTTTTAGGAGGCCCTAAATTGGTCACAGATACAAGACTGTGTGTGTGGCGTGCGCGTGCGTGCGTGTGTGCGTGTTTGCGTTGATGCAGACACTGTAGACCTCATCAAAATTTCTGTTGCTCCATTCTCCCGGGTCGCTCCCTCCAGGGAGCCACCTTCGATTATTTACTCGGCCCTCTCTTATGGGAAACGCAGAGAAACCGTGATGCTCCCCTCCCTCCTCCACCACCACCACCACCACTGCCGTTCTCACTTTTGATGGCCTGACACGGGGCCTTCAGGTGGCCTTTTCACCTCCGTGGTGCATGGCACCTCGCCGGGCGGAAAGGCTTAGAGTGGTGGACCGCAGCTTGGCCGTTGGTGGCGTAGCGTGCAACTGAGCCCTCGCTTGGCTCAGGCCAAGTCTGAAGGAACGGGGTTTAGTCCTTGTTTTCCTGACGCGGTCGGCCTGGGGGTTTTCTCCCCTGGCCGGGTCCCCTCAAACCCCCGGGGGCGAACGGCAGGGAGCGCGGTTTTTTGAGAAGAGGCAGGAAAAGTCGAGGGTTTCCTGTGGTCTTGGTCTGACACGGGGCATGTCCTCCCTTCCACCGCACCGCCGGGGACATCAATCTCCTCAACAACACACTTGACATTTAGATGGTCTACAGAGGTAGTTTTCTTGAGGCTTTATTGCATTGCGCGACCTCATCATTCAGCACCTTCCCATGCCTTCCCGGAGTTTGTTTTCTATTCCCCGAGACACTTCCCCATCCCAACCTTTTGTTCTAGTTCAGAGACCGTTGAGACATTTTTAACCTCCCAAGCGAGTCGTCGCACCCCTATCGCCTCAAGCTCCTTTTTTATTTGTATTTTTTTCCGCAAATCTACATCGTAGATGTTGTTATTTCTAAAATGGCGAGCGGCCAGTCTGGGCTTCCGTTTCCCTTGCAGAAAGCAGCACACGGCTGTCGATGCGAAGCCGGCGTTTTTCCCCGTAAGGAAGGGTTCCAGTCAAAGGCGTCTGCGCCGACAGTTGAAGGCCCTGGATGTGAGAAAGTTTAAAGTAAAACAACAAAGAAAACACAACCCAAAAAAAAACTCTTTACTTTGGAAAACTTACAAGACCTTGTCCATCATTTCCACACACACAATACAAACAGCAGGAGTTTGATAAATTAGGAGCAACGGGAACTTGAACGCGTTCCACGGTTGCACCGTCCTGTGCTGTGAAAGCCATTTATGTCTCGCAGAAGCACGGTTTAATTGTTTCCTCAGATGCTCGTGCCGAAGTACGTCGAGCCGCAGCTGTACGTGAACAAGAAAACGAGTGGGATCGTATTCTGTCGGGGTCAAGAAGTAAGCTGAGTTTCAAGGCTCGCTAACAAAGAAACCTTTAGGAGGCAAACTCTCCCAGGTGTTATGTAAGGAGCTGCGGGTGGTTTCTAATGGGATGCTATATTTAGCCGTTTGCTCTGAAAAACACCATCTTTGTTGGTAATTAGGAAGCTGTGGATTTGGGTTTTGGATTTGGGACCAACAGCGATACACAGCGTTACTCATTTTTAAGCAGCAAGACGACCAATCGGGTTTTTGAGACAATTTTCATGGAAATCTGGGGGGATGGATGGGGGTTGAAGACTGTTGGTTCCAATAACAATTGTGTGTCCGATCTGTGTTTGCAGAGTCTGGGACCTAGATGGAAACGAGACCTCCGTTCTCAGGCTTCGCTCTCCCGGCGTCAGTGTGTGCTGGCACCCAGAGGAAGTCTTTAAGGTAGGAGCCCCATCTTGATATTTATTCCATCTTGACCCACAGTGATGGGAACATGTGCATTTTCCTCCTTTCCATTTACCACCTCACCTGTTTTTAGCAATCGCTTTTCATTGTTTACATTCACATTCACCTCATTCTCAAGAACTTTTCCACGCTTTTGTGGTCAGAAATGCATGTTTTAGGTCAGGTCTGCTTAAAACAAAAACAAAAAAAACTAGACACGTGAGTGGCAATGAGTGGGTCTGATCAACATCTCTGACAAAAAAGAGAACGTAGCCATGCTTGCATTGCCCCATTATACTCTGACACAGCTGATGAAACATCTGGAGCCACCACCATTTCTCTTCAGACGGCATTATTCTAAAACCGCCCTTTCTGACGCTGATTTTGCTGGTCTTTCTTTCTTCTGAGAGACTTTGTTTCTTTTTAGCCTTACGTTTCCCCCTTCCCAATGCGTTTGGACTTTCCGCTGCCATCACATTCAAAACTCGGCTCGTGTTCGACATAAAATAGCCAAACATCTCACTTTAATCTGATGTTTTCATTATGTCCTACTGTGAATGAGAGTGATTCAAATATCGCCCCCACTGGTGTGTTTGGTCCTTCACATCTTAAAGAACTATACATCTACTCCCTCCAGTTAATGGTGGCCGAGAAGAAGGGGACCATCCGCTTCTACGACCTGGTCACCCAGGAGGCCATCCTGTCCCTGGACTGCAGCCCGCTCATGTCGGCCGACTGGTGCCTGACCAACACCATAAAAGTGGGCGCGGTGGCGGGCAACGACTGGCTCATCTGGGACATAACGCGCTCCAGGTGTGGCTCCGGGCGGGGCCGACGTAAACCGGGGGGGGGCGTCCGCACAGGATTGCATCTTAAGGCTTGTTTTTCATCCTTTGCAGCTACCCGCAGGAGAAAAGGCCCGCCCACAAAGACAAAGCCCGGCTTTTCAAGTAAGCTGCCTCTCAGAGAGACCGAAGGCCGAGATTGATTGCTGTATCTAAATCTCGTTCTCATCGTTGTATTTCATTACCAACTGACTATTCAGATTGGTCACTTTCTCCTCAGGTGGTCCCGGGCCAACGAAAACCTCTTCGCCACCACCGGATGTCCGGGGAAGATCAACAGTCAAGTGATCATCCACCATCTCGGGCACCCGCAGGTGAGCAAGGCGCGTCCCAAAAAGGCCAGATCGAGACCTTTACCTTCACACACACACACGCACACACACATCTCCCTCCTGTCGTTGCAGCCCGTGATGATGGGATCGGCCCCCGTGGGGTCGGGCCTCAGCTGGCACCGGACGCTGCCCCTCTGCGTGGTCGGCGGAGACAGAAAGCTGTGCTTCTGGATGACCGAAATGTAGCGCTGCAGTCGAATTTCCAATAAAGTTTTCTTTCGTTTTTTTTCCCCCCGAGTGTTTACGAGTGGAGTTTCGAAAGAAGGAAGAAAAACAAAATTAAAAAGGCCGCCTGCCGCGGTCTCGGATTCCGCCTTCAAGTCGGCAACGTCATCTGGGGTTCCTCTGAAGTGATATCGCCTGTCTGTTTTTGTCCTGCCGGGAGGGAGGGCTGTAGTTCAAAGGAATTCACCGGTCCACTTGATCATCACACCGCAGGTGTTCTCTCTCTCTCTCTCTCTCTCTCTTTCCCATTTCCCATTTCCCATCTCTTTTCCATTTCTTATAAGCTCCATGATCTCTGTACGACCCCCTTTCTTTTTTTTTCGGAATCCAGAGAAGGGTCGGTATTAGGGGTTGACAATGGAGAGAGAACTCCTCTGGTTAATCACACGAGTCCACAGCCGATCGCTGGTTTCCACAGAGGAAACAGAGCATCCACTTGTCACCTGGTAAGCGGAATCCTGGCGTCCAGCAGGGGCGCGTTTAAGACGTCGGAGCGCCATGGCGAGCTCCAAAAAGCACAAGAGAACGCCATGGAGGCAATCAAAGGGCTCCTCTCAAAGGGGAGTGATGAATCTGAGAGGCTTTCCTAAACCCGGCGACTCAAGAGCACCATCTGACGGCCGGCCGGCAGAACAGCGTCCGGCACCGTCCAGGAGAGGCCACGATCTCGCCGCTTTCCTGGAAGCGTCGGCGTGCGCGGCAACAACAAACCGTGAGACGGACGAGAGCGAAATAGGGCCGCCTCGAAATCCTCCCCGGCTTTTTTCCTAATCCCCCCCCCTTCAGATCACTCCTCGGCTGCCCTGCCAACTTTAAGCCCGGGCTCAACGCGAGAGAGAGCGGGCAAAAATAATGAGGAGCATGATATGAAGGGGAAACAAAGGAAGAGATTAGAGCCCTTTGAGCCCCGTGTTTGATTTGATCTCGGGGCCGGTTTATTTGCCGAGGCTTTCCCAGAATGAAACCATTTGGGTGTATCTTGATGGGAGGAGAAGAGAGAGGTTGGTTTTTCGATTGGACTTGACGTCATGCGTATTGTAGCAGCTGTGTGATCTTAGAGTGTGTCTTCTTGCCTTTGCTTTTAATAGAGGCATTTGATATTTCAAAGTATTCAATTTGATATTTACAGATTTAAGTAAGGAATGAAGCCTCTTCTTTTCCATTTTAGGAGTAGTCACTCTTTCTTTTTCTCTTTCTTTTTTTGATTTTTGATTTATTCATTTTTTCATTTGTCCACCTGTTCGAAAATTGCCAAGCATTCGGTTGACAGCTCTTTGGAAATCAATTGGTAAAAACACTGAACTGTGACAGGTCGCAGGTATAAAAAAGATGAGGTTTAATAGTCAGTTCTGGGTTGGTTCGGCACCAGCTCATTCCATCGAGTTAGGTGCCATTTTGCACGCTTTTATCAATATACAAAATAAAAATCCTCTAAAAGCCTGCTGGAACATTTTGTCCCTCCTGAAGACCTCCAGAAGGCCTTGAGAACCTCAGCGAAAGTCCACTGCGAAAAAGTTAAAAGGAGGTCGGTCCCTTTTCGCACAGCGTTATTTCTAAGTTCTAACTTCAGGCCGATCTTTATCCATCTAATGATGACGCTTTGGCAGAGTCAAGTGTTCTCTAAATTCTGGAGGCTTGAGTTAAGAACAGTTTGTACCTTGTGGTAACGCTCCTATTGACTCCTGTGACCGTTTGGACGTCGACAGGAGAAACGATACGTCTGCTTCCTGGAGTGTTCTCGACTGGACGGGATTTAGGTTTTTTCTTTTTTTCTTGTTGATCAATATTTTATTAAGTTCAGTTTTGATTGTCTACCGTCTTCAATTGACATCAAGGGAGAGCTTTCCCTTTTCACCCATTTCGCACTCATCTGCTATGCCGTTGATACGCATACCTCGTTTTGTAAAGTGTTGAACAGGATGGAATTAACCCGAAAACAAAAGGAGCCCAAATATGAATCGGTCCTCCGTCACCAGCTCTAGTTGTTCATTTCTGTGTTGCCACCAGCAATCAGAACCATGTTTGTTGTTTATGCATAAGCTCTGCCTCTCTATCTACCATTTTTAAGACGTTAAAGATCCGCCCGGCTCTTCAACCCGGTCGCAGTCGGCTTTCCACTTGACGCCACGCGCTCATTTCATTTTGCCTTTCGCTCTTGAGCCGAAGAGGATAGAGGAGCCATCAGGCCGTGATGTATGAGGAGTCTTAGCCCCGTGTTCTCTCGTGCTGGAAGTCGACCCGCGGAGCAGAGTATTACTTTCAGGGCCGGGGGCCAAAGCGAACCCGGTCACCTCGCCCCCAGCCCCGAGGAGGCCTCCTGAGGCCGGGGCGCCCCCCCCACCACGTCCGCTCGGACTGGGGACCACGCGGTGTTTGTGGACGGGTGGCGAGAGTGAGGCCACCCCGTTGCCACGGCGACCTGCTTTTGTTTGGCACCCTGCATAGGTTTGCATCTAGGCTGAGGTGGATGCCCGCCGAGATACAGTTAGCTAAAACTTGAGAGAACATTGGGTTGAGTGTGTGTTGTGTGTGTTTGTGTGTGTGTGTGTCATCTTGTTCCTTTTATACATAACCTTTTTTTTTTGTTCTGTCTCATCTGCAAGGCACAGGCTTTTCCAGGGAAGCCGGAGCAAAAAAATTGCTTGATTTACTGTGCAGGAGAATTATGGCTAGGGGGGAAGGCTTTCCAACACAAGGTGGCCGGTGCGTTTGCCAGCCACCGTCTTGATGGTGCCGTTTCTTTTTTTTCCTTTTTTTTTCAATCCTCCAGATTGAGATGATTTTGGTTCTCTTAAGGGAGAGGAAGGGGGGGGTCTGGGTCTGGGTCTGGCTCTGACGTGCGTGGCTCGGACGCGCATTGTCGCCTGCGTGGAGATCAAAGCGCTGGCCGGCCGTCAAAAGGCACGCGGGGCCAAGTTCTCCAGCGGAAGGCAGAAAGAGAAATAAAGAGAGAAGAGCGTCTGTCAGCAGCGCAGCTCCACGGACCGTGCTGCGGTGGGCCGGGAGGTCCCGGTGACCTGGCCCCGCCGACGCGCCGGGCCTCAGTGCTGGCTTTGGCCTTGACCGGCAGCGGGAACACGATACTTAAATCATTCATAATTAGCTCCTTCCCCCTTCGCTTAACAACACATGAAGATAAATGGCTTCCAAGAAATGTTCCGAATGGAAATAGTCGGTTTGGATTTAGAAGCTAGCAAACGGCCCACAAACTGTGTATTGTAGTGGCTCGCTTCTCTTCTTTTTCTTTTTTTTTTTTTCTTCTTTTTTCTTTTTTCTAACAGCTTTTCTGTCTTCGGCACCTTTTTTTTTTTTCATTTCTTCCCCATTCGACTCTTCGCTGTGAGACATTTTGAGGACACGGTCTCATGAAAATAAAACATTTATTCCTTTTTACATCATCCTCAGGTTATGCACACAAATGAAAGCCCCTCTACGTTGGGATTTTTTTTTCTCTGTTCGTCCGCAATAAAAAACAACAACTTTTCTTTTGACTCAAGATAAGTACGGTGTCTCGCTTGCAAGCTTCTTCTTCTTCTTCTCCCCTGCGTGTTGCTTTCCGGTAGTCTGGGCCTCGGGGGATTAGCCCAGCTTCTCCAGGGCGCGGTGAAGGGTCTTCAGGTCCTCCCTCATCTGGCTCAAAGCGTTCTGGATCTTGCTGGGCTGGTCCAGCACCTCCACGCTGCAGGTGAAGGGCTCGTAGCGGACCGCGAAGGGCCGCTTGATGCTGGCCGAGTACTTCCTGGGGAAGAGACATCTCTCTGTTTTTATCAGAGGCAATTGTGGTCCTTTCAAAATGCCACGAGCCGCTTGAGAAAAATAACCAAATTGGGCCGAAAAGATAAAAGCTACTAGCATTCATGTCGTGCAAGCGTGGACCCCGGGCCCTCTGGTGGTTTTGTGAAAAAAAGCATTTTTTGCTGAGTCGTTAAAAACCCAAAAACTCTCTTACAGTGGGGGAAATAAGTATTTGACCCCTTGCTGATTTTGCATGTTTGCCCACTTACAAAGAATGCAACAATCTATAACTTTAATCATATGTACATTCTAACTGTGAAAGACAGAATCCCAAAGAAAATTCCAGGAAATCACATCATATGAATTTATAAAAATTGATAACCATCTGATGAGGAAAAATAAGCATTCTTTGTAAGTGGGCAAACCTGCTAAATCAGCAAGGGGTCAAATACTTATTTCCCACACTGTATAAAGTCACCACGAATCCCGATATTTTAAGGTAATGCAGCAGTAAGTCCATAGGCCTACCTCAGCTTTATCTTTGCGTCCTCGAAGCTCTCCGACACGAAATAAACGGGCTGGTAGGTCTGGTCCTGGTAGGGCTGCACGGCCGTCTCCTCCGGGTTGAAGGGCTTGTACTCGGGCTCGTTGGACATGGCGTACTGGGAACCGGGGAAGAGCAAAAAATGTTTTAAAAAGGGGCCGTCAGAGCGGTGGAGCGAGGCCAGCGTGAGACGACGACGCACGCCGACGAGGAGGCCGCACTCACCAGGAGCTCTCCGTAGGAGGACAGGAGCCCGGCGCCGTAGGCCCGCACGCCGCCGCCCTGCTTGCAGAGGCCGAACTCCACGGTGAACCAGTAAAGCTGGAGGAGAGGAGAGAGACGGATCAACCCCTCTATTCCCGCCTCGCCTATATTCCTTCCTTCATCCTCCTTCCCAACCCTTCCATCATTCGTCTTGCTTCTATTCGTCTATCCGTATTTCTGTTTTCAAAATTCATTCATCAATTCGTCCAACCTGATCCGTTCGCCTTTTGTTTCCCTGGCCTGTCCGTCAATTACTCCCCAACCTCATCTGTCATCTTTTGTTTGTCTCGTCTTAAATCGGGCTTTTACTTTCACGTCAATCCGTCCAGCCATCATCCATCCATCCGTCCACCCACCCTGCCTCTCTCCTAATCCAACAATCCACTCCTGCTCACAAATGACTATTTCATTCGTCCACCCATCCATGGTCATGGTCAATGCCTCCATTTTCCCTCCAGATCTGTCCATCCATCCTCCCTCTATCCCATCACTTTTCCCTGCGTTCCACATTTAGTGCATCTTTGGAACAATCATCCATCCACAGAAGCTCTCCTCAACCATCAGGACCTAAAGCTGCAGCTACTCGCTTTAACCACTAGATGGCACCAAACGCTCACAAACGCAGCCGTGCTTTCTGCTTGAATCTGTCAAAACTCCCACAGTTGGGACATAAACCTCTTGAAAAACGAGGATCGAATTACCGTTGACAGTTTCTCGATGTCTTCGTCCGAAGCGCCGAGGGAGGCGAGCCCGATCTCCTGGTAACAATCGGGAAAAATAAAGCCGTCAGATGCCAAGTCTGATTTGGGCCAGATCAAAGAGAGGAGGAGGGCATTCTGGGATGTTCACCTGTGAAAACTGGGCGAATTCTTTATCCGCCAGCATGGGGATGTGGCCCAGGAGCTCGTGACAGCAGTCCCTGTGAATCAAAAAAAGGTTTGCACATAAGATAAAGGAAAAAAGAAGCAGCCGATATGATCAGTGAACGATGGGGGGGGGTAACTCACGGCTCGGGGGAGTGCATGGGCGCAGAGCAGTGTCGGATGTACTGGGTGCACTGAAACACCCGGAAGGCCAAGCTGGCCAGGAAGTCTCTGGCGGACAGCAGGCCGGCGACTGGACGCAGCTGGAAACCAGTTTTCTCTGAAGGGGGCGGAAAGAGATGAAGATCAAACTGGGGTTAATTCACACAAAAGCTCTCTTTGCTCTAAACAGGCCCCACAGAGGGAGTTTACGCGGTTAAGTTAAAGCCAACATCAGGATAAGAGTAAAGGAAACGGGTACGTAAATTGATAGATTACATGATCCCTCATTATTTTAGTTCTAGGCATATTCTGTGCTTCATATAAATGCAGATCAAGCTTAGACGCTATAGTAAAAAAAAGGAAAAGCACTTATTGGGTTGGAATTATGAGATTTGTCACTTGTATATCAGATTTTCTCTCTCTCTCTCTACTGGTAACAGCATTCAAACTTAGAACTTCAGTTTTGGTTGTAGGTTTCTTTAGCGACCCCTTGTGGGGTATGGGAACATTCAATCCAGTAAAAGGTAGAATAGTAGATATATAGTTTTGGTCTTCTAATAAACCTCCTGTTCCTCTAGCCCCCTGCCTTATTAGTCTAATAGTATACATCCACAGAATAAAATGTTGCTTTAAACTGAATTTGAAAGGGCGTCAATACAACCGAGGTGGTCACAGTTTTAGATTTCCGTCACGCATTCAAGATGATGCTGGAAAAAAAGTATCAACAGAAAACTTGGAAAGATTAAACTTGTTGCCACCAGATCAATTCAGGTTTGTCTTGCGTTGTCTTCAATCTATTGCATTGAATTCTGTTCAAATGTGCAACAACGCATATTAAAACCTGCCTAGTGCTCAGTTATCATCAAATTAATTTACAACTTGTCAGGTATAACTGAATCATTTGTAACTTGGAGTTTTGGATTGTTGATCAGACAGTAAAAAAATATCCTCTTTCCTATTTTTCCATCCATTTAAACATATTTTATTCACGACTGCTCAAAAGGGCAAGGTCAATGGATTAAGCTTGGATTCTACTCGCCCTCATTGTTACAGTATAAGATAGAATTCTTAATGTGTATTCTCCTTTTTTTGGCATCTTTGTCTTTATGTTTATGCATTTAGCAGACGCTTTTATCCAAAGCAGACTTAATGCACCTCACCCCGTCCACCACCATACTAACGAGGAAAAATTTAGTAGAAATATTTACATGACGTTTCCTTTTTAGGAGCGAAATTGTGATAGTTTCTCTTGGATAAGTACGAAAGCGACACAAGCGTACTTCTCTACTTATACCACCAAAAAAACACAAAAATAAACCAACAAAAAGAAGCTGTGTCACCTTTCAGGAAGGCGGACACCTCTCGGAGCTGAGGGATGCGCTCCTCCCCGTAGCCGCACTCCTCCTCCAGCTGCTGCAGCCCGTCCAGAAACTGCCTGCAGGCCAGGCTGGGGTAGACGCCCCGCAGCTGCTGGTACACCTGCCTCCTGTCCAGCACACACACACACACACACACACACCGCACCGTCAACACAACGGTCACTTCAGTCGGCCTCGTTTAAAAACCACTCGCCCGTGGTGAGCAAATGGAGCGCACCATGTGGAGATCTCCTCTGCTGTGTAGTCCACCGTGGGCAGTGGGTCCCCCCTGAAACAAAGGGCTGACTTTAGGCCTGTTTATTGGTTGAAAAATACATAAATCATTGCACGTTTTAGGGCATGTGACTCACTGTTTGTAACTGAAGGCAAGCTCAGAGATGGCCGCCCGTCTCTTTCTGTATTCTAAATCATTGTAACCCTGCAGAAGAAGATAAAGGTAAATCACCATGAATAAGCTTTTTTTTTCCTCTTTCCCCTCCTTTTTTATAGGCCTATTTTTGCAGCAAATACAAAAAAAAAAAACCTCACCGGATGGTCGTGGTCCAGGTCGGGATCAAATTTGGTTATCAACACGTTGCATCTGTCCAGGTCTTTTATCTGCCGAGGAAACCAGGGAACTGTGATGTGGAACAGGGAGGGACACTAATTAGAGCTTTTGTAGGCTGCAGGTTATTATCATCAGGGGCCCAAAGGCCGGGGAGAAGAGAACAACAGAAGGATAAATAGACTCCCGCTTGCCTTTTTCTTCGGGCACGGCGCGGACGTCTTCGGCCACCCTCTTCAGGGAGTTGATGAAGGCGTCCAGGTCGGAGCTGTGAACTTCGCTCTTCATGAAGAACTCCAGGTCGGGCTGGCCGTTCTTGGACTTCCTCCTGGGCCGGCTCTCGATGTGGAGGAGCTTGGCTTCGAACGCCTTCAAAATGAAAAAAAATTCTAATCAAAGAAGGGACGTTTTCCCAAAACGAATCCCCCCCTTTTTTCTGATTCAGCTTTCACATCCTCGCAAACACTGTCTTTGGTATTCAGTAAGATCCAAACACTCATGGACGAATCATGAGCCTCATGGCACAAAAAAATATTCTAAAAAGGATTTATCTTTTTTTTCTAGGTTATTACAATTTTTTTTTTTTTCATTTTTGGACCAAAGCATAAAAAAATGTGACACAATATAATTCAAGTAAATTCATTCTTCTCCAATTATTTAGCTGAAAATGGGAAAATGTGAATCATACTGAGAGTTTTAAACAGAAATTTCATGTTGAGGTTTGTGATCAGGTTAAAATATTGAATTCTATTGAAAATAATAATAATACGCATTGTCAATACATTAATCAGGCCACTTTTAAAAACAGTGCAGCATGATCACTTAAAGATTACATCATTTCTATCTCTTACATAACTTTTTATGAACGTCTCCATCGACTTGGGCTGGTTTGTTGGGAGCCTTACCTCAAATACTTTCCCCGTTTTGAAGAATCCTGCATTTTTCTCGCCGCTGAGCGCGAACAGGACGTTCAGGGTCACCCGTCCGTGCTTCTCCTCGAACACGAAGCCGTCCCCGAACCTGGAGGGCCCCGGGGAGCCCTGCGCGCCCCCTCCTCCTCCTCCTCCTCCTCCTCCTCCTCCTCCTCCTCCGACGCTGCGCTCCCGGCGCGCATCCTCGATCAGACTCTGCTTCCTGCCGCCGAACGTCTGCGCCCCGCCGTCTGTCTTCATCTGCACTATATGGCTCCCCGAATGATGATGAGCCAACGGGGTTGTGTGTGCTTTGGTCCCTGTCCCCGGTGCAAGGTTTAAATAACCCCGGTTACCTCACGGCTCAATGGAGATTGGCTGGGGTTTTTTTCTTTAGGAGCGCAGTTGTGCGTCATTGTGCTTGTCTCTATTTATGGTGCTCCATTAGGATGGGGAAACATCCCCAGTGTTGTGTCGAATTAGATTCAGTGAATCAAGGGAAAAAAAAGAAAACACTGTGGGTTGCATAAAAGAGGAAATGGTGCTGACAAGCTCCCTGTATGGACAAAATTATATCAAATGATGGGAAAAGATCTCTGGATCACTCTGTGAACTTTTTGATGTGTCGAGTTGTTCTCCTCAATTCTCTCTTTCAGTCTTTTTCTGTTTTTTAAGGAAAAAACGCCTGGTTTTTAAGAAGAAAAACTGGCACCTGTCGTTGCCAGAATAATTTTGTAAAAAAAAAAAATACAGCAGTGTAAAACACATTACAGAACCAGCTATAAATTTGACAGTCTAAAACTGTAATCCTTTACAAAATAACATTCTAAAATTTACAGCTAAACTGGTACATTCAACATCCCTTTTCAGACAAATTAGGATCACTTAATCAAAGCTATTTTTCCTATACCATGTACAAGGTTGCTTATTTTACATCTAATCTCATTACATTTTGACTGAAAATCAGTAAATAATCAGCATTATTAAACACATACACTGACTGTAAAATTAACAATTATACATTGTTTTGTTTTTTTCTCATAGATTTCTTTTACATATACACTGATTCATTGTTTTTCTTGTCACAGATTTTTAATGTCATGATTTTACGGCATATGGATGTTTATTTCACAGACATTTTTTTTACAGTGTAGACTCGATACCTGATTTACCACAGGGCTTTTGCACCCTCAGTCTCTTATGAGACCATCAGATTTGTGCATGGAGGGATATAATCAATTTCTGATGAAGTTTGCTGTAAGAAGAATATTCTGATGGTGAGAGCAAAGGCTCAGCAAATGGAGGTCAGTTTAAATCGACAACACAATCTGCCATTGGACAGGTTGAAATTTAGAGTTCAAATGAAAGACGTGGGAGTTTATATTTTGTTTCATTTTATGTATAAATTTACCCAGGAAGACGTGTAAATGATCACTGTAGTGTTGCAGCTCCAATGTTTAGAATAATGCCTTTTTAAAAGAGTGCCAGAATAACATTTAGGAATAGTGATGATAATTATGTTGATATAATAGTTAGCAACTCCAAAGGAGAGTAAATCTTTCCTTGCATCTGTTTAAGGATTTTTTTTTTTAATTGGGCATATTTCCCAACATAGACTGTGAACTAAAGTATTTTCACGTGTTCATCATCATCCAAATGTTTTCATCATCCAAAAATATCAGATTACAGGTAGTGGTACCAAACAGCTGACTGGGCAAAAAAAAAAAGAATCTCTAAAATCGTTAAGTATATAAAACAAATTAAAACCTGATCAAAGGACTGAGGAGATGCATGAATGTTTGTCTGAGAGGATAAATGTTTATTCGTTTCATTTCATGCATAATGAACATTTCTTTGGTCTTGTTTTTCTCTCGAAATGCATAGAAATAATCCGACAAATTCCTTCATGCTGCATTGTATTCGAAGCAAAATCTTCACTTTACATTTTTGAAGTCATCCAAAAGCTGTTACAGATGACCAACAAACACATGCTGATTCTTCAAAAAAGAAAAATAGAATTCAGTAACATTTAAGTGTCTAATACTAAGAGTGACACATTACTCTCTATTGTCTATATCTTACACTAAGCTGTATTCACTAAAAAACACTCTCCAACAAAAATAACACTAACATGGTCACTATCTAACTCTTATTTAAGACAAGGAAAGCTCATTTCTAAGCTGGCTAATCAGAAGCATCCGGATGACCTTACAATCATTTTGTTGAAGAGGAGAAGGGATCAAACGTGATTGGGCGCGTAGTTACTCCATTTTGCGCAGGGCTTCACACAACTTTCCCATTTCATCTGGAGGAGAGAAAAAAGCAAATCAATAAATAAAAAAATGGAAAAATGAATTAATTCAACCTGAAATACATGAGAGGCTATAATGATTCCACTTCAGCTGACAATGAGGAGCACATCAACAGACTTCATTTTGAGATTGAGAAAATCAGCCATTTTCTCAAGTATGTAGGTCAGTGTGTGTTGGAAATAAAGCTAATTTCAGATCACTGTGGACTTTGATGATAAACTTGCTTTAAAAATTTTCTCTCCCAGACGTTCCAGTGGCCCGACATTTGGTCAATTCGTGCTAAACATGCTTATTCGAGATTAAAGACAGGTATTTTCCTGATTTTACTGTGACGGCAAAGAAAATGGGAGATGATGACGCTCTCTTTTGGTAACACCCTTCTTTTCTACTTTTCTTCTAAGACTAGTCATGTGTTTTCTAGCCCCTAATGTGAACCGTGTTAGTCTTAAAGTGACACGAGGAAGGTTGCAAATTTTAAAACCACGTTACATGTAACTGACGTTTTGTTAGATTTTTATTACTGTGATTCCTGGATTTCAAATTGCTTTAGGGGCATTTTTTCCTGCCTACACTTCTGTTGAATAGGGAGAGTTTTTGGACACTAGTGGACCAGACTCGACTGGAACTTGATTGCGTGTAGCAACATTGTCTACTTTCACCTCAATACAAAAATTCTGGACCTTTTTACAGCCTCACAGAGAAAAAAACCCGTGATGTCGTGCTATCTGAAAAGTTTTGCGAACGGTCGCGATGGGGCAATCGGTAATTCGTGGTGTCTGGTCTCGGGTGTTTGTCTGAATGAGTGCCGGCGGGATGTGTGCGTGGGGGTGACTGGGGGTAAAGCGGTGCGTACTGTTGATGCTGTCGGCCAGGTTCATGAGCCGCTGGGGGTTGTCCAGCACTTCGATGCTCTGGGTGTAGGGGTTGTAGCGCACCGAGAAGGGCCGGGGGATAGTGGCGGCAAATTTCCTGTGGACGACAGACCCAGACAGGTTCAGCGTGCAGTCCGAGCCAACTGCGCACGCACATGGAAAAGTATCGGTGTGCGGGGGGTTGTCCGAAACCGTTTGATTTCCTGTCTTTTCCGGCTATGCCTGGACCAGACGGGTCACGCTCCCTTTGGTTTCTGGAGAGAGATTGGACCTTGGTGGCCTTGCGAAGGGAACCCGACTCACCTCACTTTCTCTTTGGCGTCTTCGAAGCTCTCTGCGACGAAGTAGACGGGCTGGAACTCCGTGATGGGGTACTTCTGCTGGCTGGTCTTCTCGGGTTCAAAGGGATGGAGTTTGGGCTTGTCTGTGAGGCAGTACTGAAAAAACATACAAAAAAAATGTGGGTTGTAATTCCCTAATGGGGTCGCAGGGAGAACTGGAGCCTATCCCAGTGGTCAACGGGCGAGAGGTAGGGTACACCCTGGACAGTCTGCCAGTCCATAGCAGGGCCACACAGAGACACACAACAATGCACCCTCACAGGCAATTTGGAATGTCCAGTTAACCTAACATGCAGGTTTTTTGGCGGTGGGAGGAGGCCAGAGAACCCGCAGCGAACCCACGCAGACACAGGGAGAACATGCAGACTCCATCCAGAAAGGTCCTAGGACCCCTGGGATTCCAACCCAGAACCTTCTACCCGTGAGGCGACAGTTCTAACCATCATGCCGCCCTATTGTGGTGTTTTCCTTTTCTTTGTTTTTGTTTTTTCAAATACGGAGTCAGATTTCTCAATGAGTGTCCGAGCCCTGAATCATGCTGCACTTCCTGCTTACCTATAGCCGTAGAGACAGAGTGCACATCCTCCGCTGATGTAACCTGTGACCTGGATAGCAAGCCGGTCACCCTCTATCTGCCTCTACTTACCCAGTGAACCACTTCACCCCCCCCCCCCCCCCCCCCCCCACCCCTGCCGGCACAGCAGGCTGGCTCCCCCAGTAACACATTAAACCCTATTCTGAGTGGACCACTAACCCACTCCCCAGCTGCTGTGCAGCAGGGCGAACGTGTTCCAAAAGCGTAACTCGCCGAAAAAACGCTGCGTTTGTCTGATGCACTCAGAATTTTTTTTATTTTTAATTCAAGGCCAATTTGTACATTTAATGACTTTCACGAGAAATTTGCAATACATTGGACGCGAAGGTTTTGACTTAAAAACTTACCGATTAAGGTGATTCACTAAAAAGTAACTGACTTAAATGAATGGAAGCCAGGTTTATGAATTTGGATAATGTATTTTACCATATTGCATGCTTTTTAAAATTAATTCAATCTCACTTGTTCCCATCATACAGTCTCTGTTTTCCCTTGAATCACTGTTCACTGTAACTGCATTGAATGATTGTAACAACCAATTCACCAGGTACGACGTATTCATTTAGTTTGCTTAAATCGAAGGGTATATAAAGTAAAACCTAAACCATTAGAAAAACAAAAGGCAATCCTTGGTCTGCGCTTATTAGTCGGCTTCCGTTTACCTGCAGCTCTCCAAATGATGAAAGCAGGCCAGCTCCGTAGGCTTTGATGTCAGAGCCCTGCTTACACAGGCCGAACTCCACCGTGAACCAGTACACCTGAGCAAGCACAGAGTCAGCGTCATCCACACACCAAGAAACAAGAAAGAAGGAGGAAATCTGCATTTTTCTGAATGGGGTGAATTTCTGCATTCTCGATCTACAGCGTTGTTCTTTTTTTTTTCTCACTCACAGTCGCAAGTTTCTCAATGTACTCATCAGGGGCACCCAGGGACGCCAGACCGATTTCCTGTGGAGAGTGGGACGGTGGACATAAGATTCAGAAAGCAAAAGTCTACCATGCGCCAATCTTCATTCAGAATTCACTGACGATTCTGCTTTGAAAAGACAAGTACCTGTGAAAACTGGGCGAAACTAGGATCAGCAAACAGGGGCACGTGTCCTAGGAGCTCGTGGCAGATATCCCTGTATGTTTAAAAAAAAAAAAAGAATAAAAGCGTGCTTGGGAACTTTAGGGCTGTTTACTAATGGACGGCGGGCTGTTGACACTCACGGCTCGGGCGTGTACGTGGGCTTGGAGCTGTGGCGGATGTACTGTGTGGAATGGAAGACGCGGAAAGCGAGACCACCCAGGAAGTCCCGGGACGAGAGCAGGCCGGCCACCGGGCGGAGTCGGAAACCCGTGCAGGCTGTGGGAGAGAGCGGCGAGGACGTGAGAGAGCGGTCGGCTCGGGTTAGGTTACGGCGAGAGCAGCCGGAGGAAGTGGGGCATCTGAACAGCTCCTGCCGCCTGCATTCACAAAGAGAGGCCCTCCAAACGGCCCCAACGATGTATCCTGTACTCTGTTATGTCACAACTGTATGACAGGTTAGATATCAATGCTAAATCCTATTTGTGTCGTGTCAGTTCAACAGAACACAGCAGCATAACAGTTAAAGCTGTGAATTATTTAACTCTTTGGAGTACTTTGGGAATGACAGCCACATCCTCTGAGACACAGAGGGCCCCAGCAGAGAGTGGAAGGCTACAGAAAAGACATCAAAGTCTTAGTTATACGGATTTGAGAGAAGGTTTTCATGAGGAAGGGATGCGGCTGTAACGAATGCAAATTGGAGGCTGCCTCACTTTGAGTATCCTTTATGTTATTCACTGCCTGCCTGTGCTGTGTCACCTCAAGCATTGCCTGAAGCTTTACCTTTAGGTTTTGAATAAGGGCATATGCACTAGAATTGTTCTTTGTGGAAAAAAACTACAACAAAACAATATTATGCCTGAGAAAGTGGACCCCAGTTCCTGAATATCTTGCTTAGGACTCTTATACACTTTTACTATATCCATGTATTATTGTTATTACTTTATCATTAAAGCTTCTTTAAATATCAAATATCCCTTTTCTCCTGGAGTACAGAACTTGATAAGGTAAGTGCTATACCCTTTACAGTATGACAGATTAGACCCAATTTCTGTTTTATTTCTTTGTATTTGTATTTATTTTTCTTTTATGTTTGCCTGTCCCTTTCTGTTCTTCTTTATGATGCTAAGTGCCTGTTAATCCGCATTTAAGGCAATAAAGTTAAAAATAAATAAATAAATAAAAACGATATTAACCCAACACAGCCAAATTTAGTTTTTTCCTATGGGTCAAAATTTCCCTGTGGGATTATTAAAGTATTTATGATTCTGATTCTGATTCTGGCCAGGGCAGGACGTACACTGCAGGAAGCGGGAGATGTCCTCCAGCTGAGGGATGTTGTCCTCCCTGTAGCCGCAGTACTTCTCCAGCAGGGGGAAGATGCGGTTGTGCTCGCGGCAGGCGTGGGTCGGGTACAGGGTCTTCAGCTCCCTGAACACCGTGCCCCATGTCACCTTCTCCTCCTCTGTGTACTCCACCTTGGGGATGGGTTGGCCACTGACACAAAGAGATGAAGTAAGTGGCCGTATGTGCTTCAGATTCAACGTGTTCTAGATTTATCTCCAAAGAATTTGAGTGTTAAGTTCAGTATTTCAGGTGTAGTTACTGTCTGTAGTTGTAGGCGATGTCAGCAAACTCCTTCCTGCGGGCTCTGTACTCTGGATCTGTAAACCCCTGAATGCACAAACACACACACACACACACACAAAACAACACACGTGGGAGAGCCATGTTAGATCTCAAGATGGCGGCCTTTTAGTTCACAGCTAAATCAAAGAGTGGAAATCCTCAGCCCTGTGGCCTTTGACAGCATAATGCTCTCAAATGCATATTCAAATGAAGCCTTTGTAGAGTGTTTTTCAGCTCATGGTGAATACATTTTGCTTTAATTGCGGTGGCAAAAGGGAGCAATTATCTATAATTATAGGGGCTCAATTAAAGCAATGACATCAATTTGTGTGTCTGCGCGGTTTCCATTAGAATAGACGGTGGAGGGCCATCCTGTCATCTCCACAGCTCGGCTTTTCATGAGCCGTGTAGGTGTGAGTGGCCGTGTGTGTTCACACAAGCACACGCGCAGCGGGCAGGATGTGCCAAACAGAAGGTGACGGATGAGTCACAACTTACCGGGTGATCAGCGTCCAGCTCGGAGCCGTAACTGAGGATCTGGTTGGCAAAGCGGTCCAAGTCCTGGATGTCATTGGGGAACCAGGGCACTGGAGAATAACGATGATTATGTTATTTAAAAATAATAATTACATTGATTAATGTGTTTTGCTTAAGGGCCTGATTTACAGGGGGATGATATCTGGAGGTTGCAGTAAATGTTTAATGTCAGAACAATAAAAATTGTAAAAGCAACCCTTGTCTGATGGGAAGAAATTCTCCTTTACATCGTATAGAGATTTAAAGCAGAAAACTCTTTCTAGTTCAAATGATGACGTCATTTTGCAAGTCCAAAAAATATACTGATTTAACAGATGTAAACAGTAGAAAAAATTGGCAAATATTCACTTATGAGAACCAAAATTGGAGGACATTGTCTAAAATGTTAATAAACAAACAGTGAAGGGATTGTTCATTTAACTCATTTAAACTAATTTAAACGGTAACACTTGTCTGTTAAGATTTTCTTTAACTATTTTTTTAGCATCAATCAACCATAAAAGAATGTGCTCTGCTACTTGAGCGATATGAATGACCCCCTCCACAAATTGATATTAATGAGCTTTATGAAGACATGTGCGTGTTTCGCCTTTTTTCTCTTTTTGCCCCCCCCCACAGAACTGTGGCATTTTGACACTCAGCAGAGCGGTGCGTGAGGGGCATCTGCTCGCTCATGTAGATTTATGACACTCCCAAAACACTGGGGCCCAGTCATTAGGCCGCATTTGTGCAAGTGTGGTCCACCCTGAGGCCCCGGGAGAATAACAGACCCCCTTCCAGGGCTCCTCCATAAACTGCCCGTCTCCAAAGCGCGCTGTAAATATCCCCCTCTTCCACTTGACCCTGACCAGCAGACCACGGCGTCTGCACCCAGACCAAGAGGAGGACCCCCGGTGGCCCCCGTCCGTCTCAGTCCGGCCTGACCTCGGCGCATTACGGCGGCCCGTGTTGGTCTGGGATGGGACACAGGCGCCCTCTGTTACTCCCCAGACCCGTTGGTCTTCACTAGCTAAACTAATGTCTTTGTGGAAACAACTCATAAAAGCCTCTGGACGCTGGAGAAAGGGACACCAGCCTCGGTGGCGACACTCGCTGTCTGACGGCGAGTCCGCCTGAAGACCAACGCCAAGCCCTGCCCTGCGCTGATAGATGGGCCCTTTAGGCAATATTAGCGTCAGTTTTATTAGATTTCTCAGAGCCATGCTCCAATTTAGTAACAACTGATATATCAGAGTTGGGCAGAAAGAACATGATGTCCTGATAAAGATTTACACATTTTACCTTTAGCCCAATTATGAGCTTCACATTAAGCAACAACAGCTAATGTTTCCAGATGTGTTTCTCATATTTTGTCTTATTTATGTTAGTTAGAATTTATTTATTTTTAACTCAACCAAACCCCAATAATGCTACAAAATGTAAAAAGTCATTCAAAAAAACATTCTCAGTTGTTCAAACCTAGCAAACTAGATACTGGCCATAAAGTATATGCAATCTTTTTTTATTGTGTTATACTCTATTAAGAGAAGAAATGTAATACTAAAACGTCTGCCTGTTAATAACAACTAGGAAAATGATTAAATCATCCTTTCTTTAGCATGAGATAATACTGATTGAATATAGTTAGCTCACAGGTCACAGCTTTATACCTCCCATGAGGCTCAATTTATAAAACAAAGGGTATATGTAATATCTGTATTATAAAGTCTTATTTAATGTTTTTTATTTCCTCAAAGGCTGGAGTAAGAAAATAGAAAATTATCCAGAAACCCATCATGTTTTAGGAGGCTATTTCAAAAATACACTTAGATATAAAAAAAGTTAACATAAGAGGTTCCTAAAGCTTGTCTTAATGAAACTTAACACCACTCTAGTTTATTTTATGTCATGCATCAGATCAGATGATTTGCTTGGGGTAAAATACACGTGCTTATTTACTTTAACTTGCAGCTGAGTTTTACCAGGTATTAACTCCTGATGGAACTAATAAAACTAATAGGGTTTTCCCACCTTCAGCCCGAATGGAAGGAGATAACCAACGAACAAAATGAGTTACTTTTCAAAATATCCTCCTCTTTTTGAACCCAGTGGTTAATATTGTCATTTATCACATGGCGAGCAGCGACATCACAGCAAAGTAGATTAGAGCAGAGTCAGACTTCTCCTCCTGAGGCTCGGAGCTGAACATCCTCATCCCCGGGCCGGACACCCACTGACCTGTGTCCTTCTGTTTGTTGCGGGACAGCTCGTGCACGTGGCCGCTGATTTGCATGCGCAGGCCTTCGATAACCTCGTCCAGGATCTGAGAGCAGGTGGGGTCCACGCTGATGAAGAACTCGTACTCCTCTTTGTTCATTCGCGACGGACGGGACTCGATGTGCATCAGGTTGATTCCCTTGTCCTGCAAAAAACAAAAGAGCACGGCATTTGAGAGCACAGCCGATGTCTGGTGGTGATATTTCTTTAACGGAATGTATTTTACGCAACTCTTAAAAGAAGAAAACAACAACAAAACATCACATTCTGTTACAAAAGATGTGTTTGGCCGCTGCGAGCTGCAGCAATATCTGTTTTCTTCCACTAGATGGTAGTGTGTGGGGTCATTTGTGAGACTGTGTGGACCCTCTGTCTGCAGCCTTGAACTCTATCTGCAAACTAAATCAAAGGCAGACGGACGGGAATTGGCTTAATAAAGTATTCAGGAGTGGGAATTGATGGGCTTCCGTAAATAACTTCAGAGTGCGGTCTGACCTGCTCTTTTTTTTGGAAAGCTCTGTGAGATAAATGTTGTTGTGATTTGGACCTATATAGGTCAAATTTAATTAAAATTGAAAGATACATTGTGATTATTGAGGGCAAAGTTGTGAGATTAATCGCCATTTCACTCAGACGTTTTTCATCCTGTGGCAGGAAGCAAAGCCAATGGTTTTCCAGACTTTAGTTGTTGCACTTATCCACCTCTTCTGGGTGTCCAGTATGAAAGGAGTCTCGGTCACGTGCTCGAAGCAATCTTGATGCGGGCAAAATGCTTTTTTTTTTTGTTTATATAAGTTTTAGGGGAGGAAGAGGGTGTCTGTCGTTCTCAGTCTACTATAGGCTCAGTAAGGAGGAGGGCGTGAGCAGGAGGGCCTTCTGTTTTCTGACCATCTGGATCTTATTCTCTATTTAAGTGGGTTTTATATTGGACCATGTGGTTGTGCTTCCCTCTGGCATGACCAAAGATGAGTCCAGGTAGGCATCTTAAAGAAAACACAAACTGTATGGACTTTCTGAGCATTCTGGACAGGCATAAAACCCTGTTTTCCAACAGAAATCTGGAAGATTAGGCTCAATTTAAATAATTATGCTAGGCAAATAGAAAATTCTGAGATATATCGGGGTAGTGGGAATTATTCATACCAGACACAAATTAACTAAAGCAACACTTTATACCATGCGGATTTTCCTTTTGAGGGGTTGGAAATGACATAATTTCATAATTTTTCATAATTTTTTCTTCTGGAATACACAGAAAGTAGCCTGTTCCATCGTTATACATCAATCCCAAAGCCTACAGCCAACGGGATGCAGGGTCTGTACCCCTCAGGGCTGTCCCTCCACAGCTGCTGACCTGCCTGAAGTGTAAAGTCAGCCCCCCCCAACGGACCGATTTCTTACAAGAAAATCACTTTTGCCATGTCACGTGTCCCATGTGGATAGGAGGTGAGGTGTCTCAGAACAAAAATACGGAGATTAGACATTAGACTGAGCCCATGATCGATGCCACATGCTGGATTTCTTTTCTTCAAAGCTGTGTTTTAAAGATTACAATCATTATTTTTTTTCTCAGATAATGAGGGGATTCGGGGTTACGTCACAGTACGAGATAGGGTTTGCATAAACAGTTTGCTTTATAAGAAAAAAAGTTGGGAGAACGAGAGGAGTGGGAGGAAGGGGTGGATCAGGGGGAGGATTGTTATGGAGGCAGCTCATAGGTTCAAAACACGCTGAGGGCAGCGTTTGGCACGCACTTGGTATTGATCGGAGTCAAAACAGGCACAAATTCATCCCCCCCCCAAAACGTGTGAAATTGCAGGACTGAGGCCCGAACGTTCCCCACAAAAATGTCTTGGACCCAAAAACGTAACTCATGCAGGCGGTTTTCTTTGTTGTTGAATTATTTTGCAACGCGGCCTCTGACAGATGGGATGTGCCAGCACAGAAAGTTCAAGTTTAACCTTCGTAAAAACTGTGTGTTACTGCCAATCACTGTTTACTCAGAGTGGTCATACAGTCACGTACACACACAAAATGTCACTTTGATCATTGAAAAAAACAAAACAAAGATTACCTCTGTTAGGTTTTCAATATTCTTAATGAAAGCCTCAATTCCAAATAATATCAAGAAAAACTTGGTAATTTGGGGTACTTTTGTCACATCTAGACTCGTTTTATGTTAATGAGTCCACCAAATGTGAGAATTCAACACCAATATATAACAATACTATAGATCGTAATCTTGACAATGGCTGATTGTAAGTAGGACTGTTTGAACTTAAATGCCAAACCCAACAATAGAAAAATGCGATATGAAAAAAATAGTGGGCCCAACACATGTCTTTTATGCCCACTGAGGTTAAAGGCAATAAAGTTTTGCCAGTTTCAAGGAAAAGACTTAGCAACAAAAACAGGGAAAACCACATAACCTTTAGCCACAGCTGTGAGGGCCACTACCGATGTCGTGACTGGCTGAAAAATTTGAATGAAATGTTAGCATTTCAAAGGAGCGACAGTAGTTGCAGTAGCATCTAGCGGCACAGCTCACAGGGTATCTCCCAAGTTTACCCCCCCCCCCCACCAGCCATAGAGATGTTACTACACTGGCTGCTAAAAGTGACAAAGATTATCTGGAACAATTGGTTTTGTCTCCAGTTTTAATGCTGGACAAGTCCCCCATTGTCCAAAAACATGAATATTAGGTCAATAGGAAATTTTACAAAGTGTGAGACTGTGTGGTTGTCTTACTCATTCATATCTATATGGCCCCATGACCCTACTAGCAATACCAATAGAATACATGGATGGACAGATGGAAATCATATATGTCAAAACTTTCAAATCTCAACTCTTATAACTGTGAATGTAATAATGATTAAATTCATACTTATACATGGTTTTAGCTAAAGCAGCATGAGTTGTGGCATTAAACGGCCCCCTGCAGGCTGTGCTGGACCAGTATTTCTGATCATTTTGAGTCAGTGTGGTAGGCAGACATGGCCTGTTTTTTTTTTACAAGAAGTTTTAAGATGTCTTGCAGTCATGCGGACATGGCTCCTTGTTGTCTTCTCTCTGCATGTTTGCTGCTGCTAGATTAAGAGCCATGAGGTCTCCGTTCGAGACCTCATGATCAGTACTTGTTGACTTCTGTGCTATATATATATACCAGCCCCTTAATGATTATACATTCCCTTTGTAGCAGAAACTCACACTCAATTATTCTACCTTGTTATCATATAAATAAACATGAAATTGGACTTGTGAATCTACACAAGCGTTCATGACCCCAGAGGCAGGAGGTTTTTCTGGCCGTGCCGTGTTGTATTATCACAGAGAGCCAGAGGGTGGTTGCTAGAGCTACTTACCATATTTGCACAAGACTGATACACAAACATCTGAGATAAGCTCTGTTTTTTTTCCTTTTTTTTAGTTTTCAGAGCACCAGTAATCAGTTATAAGTGTGCCTTGTTTTGTTTAATGTTAATCACTAACTTTATGGACCCAAGAGACCCGAGAGTGCGTCACCAAGTCCCCGTCTGTTTGGGCCATTAAAGGGACAGTTAAATGATAAAACTGATATGGGGGATTTAATAATAAGGCAGTGGCCAAAAGTTTTTTGTGGGGAGCCCCAAATATTGAGCTGCTCCTTCGGGGCAGAACAGGTCCTCCTATACATCAGACTGTACTTCCTAACCGGCATTACGATGCAAATTTTTCTTTAAGGTGGACGCTTGGTGGTTCTTTTTCAATTTCTGAATATCTTGAAGAGATACTCAGAAATTCCTCCTTCTTTTTTTTTTTACCTCAAAAAGCCGCAGGGCTTTCGCCAGAGCCCCAACTTCTTCCTTCAGAGAGAAGATGCAGGAGATCAGCCCAGACTTCTTGCTGGTCTCCTCCTCCAGGTACATGGAGCCCCTTCTCTTCTCCATCTGAGAGAAATACATGAAATTACAAAAACACACAGCTACTCTTAGAGTGAGGGTGCATAGAGACACCTTTGAACCAGAACTCTGGTTACAGACAAACAAATCACAGGGGTCTTTTTGTTTTTTTACTTGAGAAAATATGGCGAACCTCAAGCATTTGGACCCTTTTAACCTCAGCCGGAGGAGCGGGCATGAAATCTTCTGTGACATTCCCTAGCCTTCAAAGCAGAGCGCCGTTTAACCTTACGAGGCCAAACGGAAGCCCCTTACAGTGGTCAGGAGACCACATGTCCTCCACAGATTTCACACGGAAGATCACAAAAGCACAACATTTGACTTGACAAGCCAAGTTCCCATATGGCGTGAAACTTCAAGTGAACTGGAAATAACACCTCAACACCTCAGAAAAGCCCATGAGCATGTCGAAAAAAGACTGATTTACTTTCCCTATAAAGTATAAGACCGTGTTGTTACTGCTTGTGTTTGCATTTTCTGTTCACATCAACTGTACACTCCCCAGAGTATAATAAATAAACAGCATTATTATTATTATGATCATTCCTATTATCATTATTGTTACTGTCATAACACTCTAAAAGAAATGAGAGTAGATTAGAAATCCTCCTCTCACAGTTCAGATTAACCACAACATAAGACCAGAAAGAAGTTGATAGACGTGGCAAAGGTGAGGAGAAATATCTGGACGCGTCCATGGGTGAGGTTTTTACCCCTGTGCCCGGGTCCCCCGTCTCCCCCTCCGGGCTGTAGTTTCCGTTCACTCTCTTGTAAGCTGCGTCCATCCTCCGGCCGTGCAGGTAGGAGCTCTGTGCGTCCCGATGCTGCGCTCAGAGCCGTTTCGCCGCTGTTTATTTGCGCAGCTGAGGTCCATAAAACCTGCCACGGTTTGACGGCACGTGGGCCACGTGACGCCACACCCCCCTCTCTCCGTCGGAATGTCACGGGCCGATTGTTGTGAAACAGCGTTGTTAGGGCACATCTGGTTTGCGTTGCGCACCGCTGGATCGGATTCTTTTCGGGGTTTGTGCGTAAAGTTTTATGAGTTTGTGCGTGTGTGTTTGTGTTTGTGTATCCTCCAACCTGTCTGACCTGAGGACAGGTAGTTAAAAAAGAAAACGCTGACTCAGCATTAAGAAGGGGTACGAAATGGCTGAAAATACACTTCATCATTTTCAAATCTTAAGATGAAATAAATCCATAGATTTATTGCGTTAAATGACATATCATGCTAATTACTACACTTAATCTATCCTAAAAAGCCCCAAAAATCTGTGGGATTTGAAAAACATCCTTTTTTATTTGACAAAAATGAAAAGCCAGATGCTGACAGTCAATTCTCTGATCATCAATGCTTGAGGATGATTATGAAAGCAAAAGTAAGTTCAGTTTTCAGGTCTGGGGGAGGTAGGTGTCGGATAACAGTATTTCCTATCAATCTAAGTAGAATAATAAGGTCATTTCTGTATGTAGTTTAAAAAAAAGATTTGTGGCAGTTGTCGGCCATCCCAGGAATGAACGTTCCAGAATGTTCTCACCAAGGTGGGTCCATGCAATGCTCAGAGAAACTAGAAGTAAACCGGAAAGAAACTTTTCTGTAAGGTTTCTACTTCTACTCTGTCGTTTCTCAGACAAAACAATGTTAGCTTTTTGTTTGTGGGCCATATCTATTTTGAAGTTATCTATTAGATGTATGGACCTAAATTTCTAATTCAAAGATCTTTGAATTAGAAATGTAGGTCCATACATCCACACTCCTATTGTGAGATTCACTTTTAAAATCTTGTCTCGGTCCTCTTATAATGACAAAAGTGATGGTGATTTGGTGTAATGCTGGTGTCCATGTCAGCAGGTCCTGTGTTACACAACGTTAAAAGAGGTCAAACCTTTTCACTCTTTTTCTTTCTTCAGAGCTCCTCCTCTGCACAAAATGCCTTTGCGACCAAACACTAACCCCACAGAGCTGTTGGCTGGAGGGGTTTCATTGAAGAAATTAATTTGAAAAAAAAGGTAGAAAACAAGGGGAACTGGTGAGTCAATCAGTTACACGCTCAGAATAAAACTACACGTTCCACATTGTGTGTTTGTAGGTACACAAGTCTGCCTCCTTTGTTGCAATTGCTGCCAGATCAGAACACACTGTTCCTTTTTTTGTTAATGAAATCCAGCTGGAAATCAGAGAAAGCTGTGCAGTATGTGAAATATAATCACGTGGAACAAAAACAAGTGTATCCTGGTCAATTTTGATTAGCCATTGTATGTCCATTTTTGCATTTCAGGTCCACAGGTCCAAATAAAACTTTGTCAGCAGGGGATCGTATAGGAAAGTTCACTTTATTGCAAATGCTGCCTTCAAAGCCACGTTTTTTCAAAGGATGTCCATGTATCCCTCATCAAGGCAAGTCCAAAGCAACACTCTACTCATGTTACAAAGACACGGCTTTGGAAGTGGAGTCAACGGGTACTAAACTGTCCCAAAAGCACCCTTGACCCATGACCTGTGGAGAATGTGTGGAGAACATTGGTGTGAACGCAAAACAAAAATCACGCCATACAGTCAGCACAGCAGAAAATGCTGTGCTGAGAATTGCATTTTTTTATGCCAGTACTATTCCACCATGCTCCCCATCTCCCCATAGAGTCTGTTTAATCTCACGCTCCATGGAGCTCATGAGCAAAGTAGCATCAGTATTGGTTTTATCTCATCAGAACACGTTTTGTTTGACAAAAGGGTCAAAATAGGCTCTATGACCCCAGAGTTTCTGTGATAGTTTGGCCTAAAGTGGATGTCCCACTATTCGGTAAAACTAAATTCATGTTTGATTTTGATTGGTTATGAAGCAACACAGAATACGCTCGTCTGGGTTTGGGTTGTGAGTGACCATCAGGTGTGTGCGAGTCACACCTGATATTTGGAGAGTTGATTGGCACCACATGAGGGCAGTGTTGGTTTGATAATGTGCCAGGAAACAGCAGCAGCACAGTGGACGCCAGGAAAAACGACAGTTGGATTGTGCACAGAAATAGTTCCAAGCACATATTTCAGTTAAACTGGCTGCTGTTTTTGTTTGTTTTTTAGGTAATATAACTAATTTCTCTTTGGATCCACTCAATTTCAGACTTGCTGATGCCGTAACAATGTGGAAATAGGTTGAACTAAGTAGGATGACGTCAGTTTTGTTTGTTTTTCAAATGGTACTGATGCATTTTTAATCGGGCTGACTGCTAAAGAGAAGAAGTTATGTGGAATGGTGTAGTGGAATCGGTGGTCATTCTTGGAGGAAACAGTAGCCATTGAACTGGTTCTCTGGTATATATTGACTGTGTGAAGGGAGTTAAGTCATATAGGAAATAAGTCAGAATGATTGAATTATTCTTGGAAATAAAAAACACCCCTAATCCCTATGCTAACTTTTGTTATATATTTTTTAAAACAAGCAAATATATCTTAAATTTAATTTCGCTGGGTCAAAATGCATATAGCACAAATGGATTATTTTGTTCAATCAGCTGTAACATAGCTGTGACATTTTCCTTTAGATAAGGACTCACACTGTGGCCTCTGTACGTGTCATCTGCCCGTCCCCGCCGCACAGCCATTTTGCAAATAAACACCACGCAGGACGTGATGTCACATGAAACTTCCAAAAGCTCCTCAGTGCTGTCCTCACATCGCCCCGGTGAATGTTTAGCTCCCCCTCCGCGTCATTTACCGTCATTAATGGCCACGGACACAATCGCTCATTTATCACAAGAAGCGGGGCAGTGTGTGCCCACAATGGCCTCCTCCATAGGCTCTCCATAGTCTTATTCACACACTGAAGATCCATTCTCACTATAATGATACGGGCAGGAATGGGCTCCAAACGTAGCTGCAGCTGTCCAAACTTAATTCTCCTTCTTTTTTTCTTTTTGCTTTTGCCTTGATGGTGCAACTCCGGGTCATTTTCATAAAAAAGTGCTGGAGAATATGTGCGGTTTTAAGGGGATGGAACGACTCGGGTGTGGAGATATGCCGACCGGGAGGAGGTCGCAGGGGTGCTCGGAGATGATAATGGCTCACGGAGTTGTGAGGCTCCCTAATTGTGCGTTCATGAGATGTCGTTGATTAATGGACTCAGTGGACAGACTCCCTGTGAGTGTTGTCCACATGTGCACTGTCCACAGGGGTCCTAAAGAATCCCACTTGAGGCCTCCAGTGGCATTGTAGAAGTTTTTTTTGAGAGGAGGAAGAGTGTGTGCGTGGGGGGGGGGGTGGATTGGAGGAAGACAAGCGTGAGCAGAGACACAGAATAGAAAGTCGGGGCTTTGGGCAGCGCGGCTATAGAGGAGGCTGAATGCGAGCAGGGGCCGTGCAGCCAGCCACATGGGCCGTTCTCACTGGGGATAATAGAGGCCTTTTTTGTGGCTCTTAACCCCCCTGTCGCACGCTGGGAACGGGCAGCCGTTCGCCTGCCGCTCACAACAGACACACTCACCCGCCGGATAATGGAATTTTACACCCAGAAAAAAGTCAGCCCCTTCACTTCGGTTTGCACACGTGGCCCTGACAGGAACTCTCCCAGGATCGGCATCTCACCCAGGGGGAGAGGCTGAATCTGGGGGGGGGGGGGGGGGGGGTCATGGTAAACCAACCTGTTGTTAGCACTGCTGCAAGTGGGCCGGTGTTGGTCCAAAAGAGTTAAATGGAATGAGCCAACCGAATATTCTAAGTTAAGAATGTTCTTCTACCAGGTGGAAGTGTTTTTTCTGGTTTCAAGGAGCCTGTTTAACGGTATCCTTATCTGAATTACAATAGGCTACATCTTTAAGCATGATCAGATTTCTTTTCTTTGAATTCAATATGATTCCAATTCATTTGGCAGTTTTTTGGTCTAAAAACTTTAAGTAAACTGACTTGAATTTCATTCTCTTCAATTTGATTATAATTCAATTCAAGTTTACTGTGTTTAATCTGTATGGAACTAATTAACTAGTTTAACAAGTTTTTGGGTTGTTATTAAAAGCTGCTAAAATGATATTAATTGAGCACGGTAGGTTTTAAAACCTTTATTGAAAGAAGTGCGGTGTATAAAGTAGTTAACTAGATGGATGTTGCCTGTACTGTAAAATCTTTAGAATATTCTGCAGGACCAGGAAATCCATTTAAAACACACCTGGGAGCAGATCTTTCTGTTTGCTTGTTTGTTTGTTCATTTTTAATATTTCTCCAATACGTTAATTGGCATTTAGATAAACCTTTAGGTGCTCGGTTGGCACATTCCTAATTTTTTCCCCCTTATTTGACACTTGTCGTAGATATTATTTTAACTGAAATACCTGCTGAAGACCACCTCCTGGTTTCCTTCCCTTCACCTTGATACCTTTTAGACCTTTGTTACAGATCCCATGAGAGTACCCTCACAATTGAAAAGCTGTTTGTTACCAAAACAGTCTTCTCCGGAGTGATTTAATGAGATAAAGTCCTCCCACCTGCCCGTGGTTCTCGGCATCTCATTTAACCTTCCCGTGTTTACGTTAGTTAACAATTTGTTTCATTGTCCGGCGGAACATAACCATTTCCAGATTTGCGGGTGATAAGGGCTTATCGGCATGGACAGCTGTTTTGTCACCTCTGCAGATGTGGAGCAGATCCCGGAGGCTTAGGGGCCCTTCTGGGGGCTGTCTCACTCATTTCGTTTCCTCCAAATACAAACAAAGATGGAGATAAGACCATCCAGAGTCAGCAGACCTGAGGAGCCTTATCACAGGGAGTAGGTGGGTGGGTGGGGGGGGGATGCTACGTGCTGGTGGCTGTTGGGTGACGTATAAACGATGTGAAGAGAGTCGTCCGGACCTCTCCGTCCCGGCCTCGGGGGCCGATGAGCTCATGGAGAAGGGGACCCGGGTCACTGCTTCCCCCCCCCCCCCCCTCCCGGCTCCGTGACCAAACACAAAGGACGCTTCCTTTCTTTCAGCGGCGCTCACTTTCACCTGTCACTCAGACTCTCTCTTTCAGCCGGGCTCTGCGCAGGGCGGCTCCAGGTGGGCGCTGGAGTGTGGCCGCTGGCTCGTCCGCGGTCACCTGGAGGAGGAACGCCCCACACACCGAGGTAATGTGGGCACTGGCGTTTAGCCATGAAAGCAGAGCCCCCCGGATGCTCTGGAGAAGCTAAATGCTCAGACCTATGAATTCTGACAACTTATTTTCTGTAACTGGAATTGGGACCTATTGATGACAAACAACAAGACTATGAACATCCATGTACTACTTATGCTTATACATATGTACATCTATCTATCTATCTATCTATCTATCTATCTATCTATCTATCTATC